GCGCTAAACTGCTGAGCCACCCAGGCGTCCCCTTCTTTGGTCCTTTGGATGCTTGGTGTATACTGAAAAAAAAAAAAAAAAGGATAAGGAAGGTGAGAAATTAGTGTGTGCCTCTGGCTGAAGATAGCTCTTGTAAAGGTAGTTCATGTACACTTCCTAACAGCTAAGGATGAGGTAGATTTTCTTTACCCTAATAATTGGCAGAGGCAAGTTTTTTGTTTGTTTTGTTTTGTTTATTTTTTATTTTTTATTTATGATAGTCACACTGAGAGAGAGAGAGAGAGAGAGAGAGGCAGAGACATAGGCAGAGGGAGAAGCAGGCTCCATGCACCGGGAGCCTGATGTGGGGTTCGATCCCGGGTCTCCAGGATCGCGCCCTGGGCTAAAGGCAGGTGCTAAACCGCTCTGCCACCCAGGGATCCCTGTTTTGGTTTTTTATTCATTCATGAGAGACACACGGAGAGGCAGAGACACAGGTGGAGGGAGAAGCAGGCTCCCTGCAGGGATCCCGATGCAGGACTCCATCCCAGGACCCCAGGTTCATGACCTGAGCCGAAGGCAGATGCTTAGCCATTGAGTGACCCAGGTGCCCTGGCAGAAGCAAGTTTTGAATCCAGAATTATATAATATCAAACTGCCGTTCTTTCCTCCCCAGCAGTGCTGAGTTCCTTAGAAAAAAAAAACTGTGGGCAGGAATTGTGCTTTTCTAATTGGGGTGCATGGCTGAGTACAGTTACAAGAAATCACAGGATGGACAGGGTGCCATTTGTTGCAATAATCTGTTCTACCTGAGGAATCGGAAAGCGAAAGCCATGGGATGTACTTATCTGATAAATAGTTTAAAATATGATGTTTATATTGACACAAGCTCAGATTTATTAAGATACAGGATGCCAAAGGCATGTGGATGTTTCAAAATGAAACAGAACCAACCAGCAGAAGTTTTCTGTAATGAAGAAGCTGCATTGGGTTATGCCCAGACCACAGAACTAGGCATTACCTCTATAGTTTGGAGATACTAGTTAAAAGTAGAAGAACTTGGGACACCTGGGTGGCACAGCGGTTGAGCCTCTGCCTTTGGCTCAGGGCGTGATCCTGCAGTCCTAGGATCGAGTCCTGCATTGGGCTTCCTGCATGGAGCCTGCTTCTCCTTCTCCCTCTTTGTCTCTGTCTCTCTCTCTTTGTGTGTCTCTCATGAATAAATAAATAAATAAATAAAATCTTTTAAAAAGATAAAAGTAGAAGAACTCCCAGGCAAAGAAGAGAGCTTTGTTCTCAGAGACTGTGGCAGTGGAGTGCTGGGGCTGGCACACCAGATCACAAACCTGTAGTGTACACCTTTCCCTAGTTCTATGCTCAGTGACATGAGTTGATAGCTTAGAGTGGGGCCCTCATGGTAGTGTTTACACCATAGAAATTGGCAGATGCTACAGATCACCCAGCATACCCCTGCCTTGGAATCTAATGCAGAGATAATTCAGGCATCACAAAACTCTGGGTAGGCCCCTTTGGCTCCATTTTCTGGAGGAGGGCAGCCTTGCTTACTTAGCACAGTCACAGAATGGAAGGCCAGGCCACTTAGTCTGTCACTGAGCCACAACTCTTCACCTTAATGTCCTGTGCTGTAAATCTCCCCAAGTCCTGTGGCCATTCTGATAGAACAATGGTTTACGGCTCATAACCATGGTTATGTACTGATGTCTTTTAGACCCTGCCATAGAGGACAGCGGGGATACTTCCTGTGTAGAGTCCTGTCTCGTACCAGGAGGGCAGGTTGTGCTACATGTCGATAGGCAGGCCCATGTTGAGGTTTCCGTTTTCATTCTCAAAATGAAAAATGTTAGCCCCAGGTGGTCAGTTTGCTTTAAAGGTGAAAAGAGTTCATGTATTCATTTAAAATATTTAGTACAGGGGATCCCTGGGTGGCTCAGCGGCTTAGCGCCTGCCTTTGGCCCAGGTTGCGATCCTGGAGTCCCGGGATCGAGTCCCGCATCGGGCTCCCGGCATGAAGCCTGCTTCTCCCTCCTCCTGTGTCTCTGCCTGCCTCTCTCTCTCTCTCTCTCTCTCTCTCTCTCCCTCCCTCCCTCTCCCTCTCCCTCTCCCTCTCCCTCTCCCTCTCCCTCTCCCTCTCCCTCTCCCTATGTCTATCATAAATAAATAAATCAATCTTAAAAAAAATATTTAGTACATCCCTTATTCTTGTACTTACTAATTAGGAGGTGGCGATGTCACCCAGGGATGAGTGTATTCAACATACACACCTGAGTACTTCCCCAGAGCAAGTGGACAGCACAGTTGACTCAGCCTTCTCCAGACTCTCAGCCCATAACACTGGCCCCTCCCCCACTCTAACAAAAACAATAATGATAAATACAGCTCTCCTTACATGAGCACTGACCATGATATTGGTATCCCACACAATGAACTGCACCCAGGTTGAAGAGGCCCCCCTGCCCCAACCAATGGGGCCAGGATGGCTTCTTGAAGTGAAGGCACTGATATAGGGCACTTGGAGACAGACTATAGCACCAAACAGAAAAAACAAGTTACATAGTGTTTTGGGAAGAACTCAGTCTTCCCCTGTGTGTGTGTGTGTGTGTGTGTGTGTGTGTGTGTGTGTGTGTGTGTGTCTCCTTAACTCTCACAGTGCTGCAGCATGACACTTCTGGCGCAGGTGTGTGGATTTTTTCCGTGAGGCAATTTTGCAGCACCAACTGGCTGTCCTACAGTGTAACTTAATTCTGACCCTATCTCCCTGGATAGAGTGCCAGATCCCACAGGCTTATGACTCAGGTCCATGAGATTGGCCTTCCACTTCACAGACCAATCACAATAGTAGGTCCCCAGGCTACCCACACCTTCTGTCCAACTTCGCTACAAATCAGAGGTTCCTGTGACCCTCTTCTCAAGATTTGTTAGAGTAGCCCATCAAACTCAGAAACATTTGCCCTTTTATTAAAGGCTATAATGAAGAATATAGATTAATAGTCTCATGAAGAGCTACATAGGTAAGTTATATAGATGAGGTCTGGGAGGGTACCAAGTGCAGGAGTTTTTGTCCCTGTGGAACTGGGTTGTGCTACCCTCCCAGTGTGGATGTCTTTACCAGCCCGAAAGTTCTCCAAACCCCATTGTGTAGGAATTTTATGGAGGCTTCATTTTGTAAGCATGATCAGACATTAATTGCAGATTCTCTCTTGGAAGATGGCAGAGTAAGCCTGAAAATTTCAAGCTTCTGCTCATGACTTGGTCTTTCTGGTGACCAGGCCCTGTCCTGGAGACCACCCAGAGTCACTTTATTAGAACAACAGACATTTTTAGTGTTCTTATCACTTAAGAATTTACAAGGGTTTTAGGAGTTCTGTGCTACCAAGGAAGGGGGCAGAGACCAATATACCCTTTATATTATCTTTTTTATTCTCTTAAACCTAGAGCATTAGTGATGAGAGCTATGGAGAAAAGAGAAGTCAAGGCTGGACAAGGGAGACTGGGAGTGATAGGAGGGTGGAAGGCAGGTTTGTAGTGTTATTAGAAAGGTTACAGTAAAACTGGCAGAGAAGTGAGATTGGAGCATAGAGCAAAAGGAGTGAGGAACTGAGGTCAGGCTGTTCTAGCACGTTCTGAGGCCAGCAAGAAGGACTTCACAAGGAAGGAGAGAGATGGAGGACCGGAGTTTAACTTTTATTAATCCTCACGACAACTCCAGTAGTTCTGTATTCTCATTTAATAGAGGAGGAAACTGGCATAGAGGTTAAGTAACATGCCCATGGTAACACAGCTAATGAAAATAGTCATCACACCCAGGTGGTCTGACTCCAGAGTGATATGTTTATTTACTTATTTTTTAAAGATTATTTATTGGGACGCCTGTGGGGCTCAGCGGTTGAGCTTCTGCCTTGGACCCAGGGCGGGATCCGGGATCAAGTCCCACATTGGGCTCCTTGCAGGGAGCCTGCTTCTTCCTCTGCCTGTGTCTCTGCCTCTCTTTCTCTCTCTGTGTCTCTCATGAATAAATAAATAAAATCTTTAAAAAATAATAAGATTATTTTAGAAGTGAGAGCAAGTACACAAGAACTCAGGGGAAGGGGAAAGCATCTCAAGCAGATTCCCTGCTGAAGGTGGATTCTGACACAGGGCTCCATCTCAGGACTCTCGGATCATGACCTGAGCCGAAATCAAAAGTGGTATGTTTAATACAGTCCTTACCTCTGACCCAGAGGGTTTTTTTTTTTTAATATTTTTTAAAGATGTATTTATTTATTTATTCATGAGAGATGCAGAGAGAGGCAGAGACACAGGCAGAGGGAGAAGCAGGCTCCACGCAGGGAGCCCGATGTGGGACTCGATCCTGGGTCTCCAGGATCAGGCCCCGGGCTGAAGGCTGCACTAAACCGCTGAGCCACCCGGGCTGCCCCTGACCCAGAGGGTTATCAGGGTATCTGGGTCAACATCAGCTTGAATACTGGCTCTGCCACTTCCTGCCCTATAGCCTTGGGCAAGTGATCCCTACTTCTCTGTGCTTTATATTACTCGTCTGGAAATGGTGTCAGTGAGAGTACCTGCCCCACCAGGGTAGGAGTGAAGATTCAATTGTTACCTTCATAAAGTGGTACCTAGCATGTTTAAGCACTCGGTATTTATTCATTTAAGTATTAATCTTAGTATTATTACTTTGCTTTTCTCTTTGTAAAGAGAGAAGCATGATAAACCAAATGTTCTTCTGGCTGGGTTCCTTTGTATAGTAAAAGGTCATTTTAGGACTTGAATTTTGAATCAAAACATACCCATTATCAATCTCCAAACTTTTTTCTTTTTAAAAAGATTTGTTTATTATGAGAGACACAGAGACATAGGTAGAAGGAGGAGCAGCCATCATACAGGGAGCCTGACGTGGGACTCAATCCTGAGACTCCAGGATCACGCCCTGAGCTTCACTGGGGAGGAATGGAGACATCTGGATCTGGCCCAGAGGACCTTATAACCGGGAGGTGATGCTGGAGACTTGTGGGCTCCTGGTCTCACTGGGGCATCCTGTTCCCAAACCAGAGCTGATCTACCTACTGGAGCATGGGCAAGAACTGTGGTCGGTGAACAGAGGCCTCTCCAAAAGCACCCATACACATCAAGTGATGGTGGGAGAGACTCCAGCGAGAGGGATGCAACCAACACACAACCTCATCTGTTACATTCCACTGCTTTGCCATATCCTATTCTTTAGAAGCATATCAAGAGCCTGCAGCATTCTGCCAGAGGGCATCATAACAGGGTGTAAGCACCATGAGATTTTATTCATGAGAGACGCACAGAGGCAGAGACACAGGCAGAAGGAGAAACAGGCTCCCTGTAATAAGCTCAGTGACGGGACTTGATCCCAGGACCCCAGGATCATACCCTGAGCCAAAGGCAGATGCTCAACCACTGAGCCACCCAGGTGTCCTGACATAAACCTCTTTAATGACCATTTCAGGAAATAATCCACCAAATACAAAGATTAAAAAAAAAAACAAACCAAAACTGCTGAGCCACCCAGGCGTCCCTCAAATTCTGAACTCAGTTATGACTTTGGGTTTCATATATCCTCCCTAACTGCACCCTTAAGGGAGAAAAAAACAGAACAGCTGTAGAGAGAAGCATTCATATTTCCATTTTCCAGACTGTGCTGCTATATACCTTTTTCATAGAAAAGTCACCAAAAATTTTTTATGAAATATTTACTATTGTTAGCCCTGGAGTGGGTTGATGGCATTCTTTAGAGGTATGTGCTGAGCCATTTAGGCATGAACTTTGATCATGTCTATAACTTTGAAATGATTTCAGAAAAAAGGAAAATATTGACATTTGGTGAAAGGTAATGAGGTGTTCATTATACTGTTCTTTTCTCTGAATTTCAAATTTTTTCAAAAGGGAATATATAAAGTATACTCTGATTTCTGCCTTTTCTATACCCTGACCTTTTCCAAAAGACAAGTTTAGAGAGCTTGGAGTGACTGTCAGCAAGTGTTTCTCTGTAGGATGATATTGGCATAAAATGGTTAAACTCCACCCCAATTTCAGCATGCCAGGAAGCATTCTGGACTGTTGTTGATTCAGTCAGCCAGTATTTCTTGAGCACTGCACTGTGCCAGGTACATTCTCAATTCCTAGGAGAACAGTGAAACAGTCTAAAAGTGCTTGCTTTCATGAAGCCCCTGTCAAGGTGTGGGAAATTGTCCCGCACAAACAAAAATGTAAATAAGCCGTTTTCGGGAGGCAGGTTGTGGTGTGAAGAAAATGCAGCAATAGAATGGTGTAGACTCTAGTATAAAGCAGTGTGGTCCTGTGGAAGTGTAATGCAAGACATAGATTTTAAATTTTAAATTTCTAGCAGCTGTATTGAAAAAAGTGAAAAAAACAATCATTGCAGTTAATTTCAGCACATTTTATTTAATTTAGTGTATCCTAAATACCAGCTTATGGTCAGTATAAACAATTATCAATTAGGTATTTTATATTTTTTTCATACTAAGTTTTTGAAATCTGTGTTTTACACATGTAGTACACCTTGGTTCAGACGCTTTATTAAATCTCTTCATTTCTTTAAGATTTTATTTATTTATCTGACAGCACAAGCAGGGAGAGCAGCAAAGGGAGAAGGAGAAACAGACTTCTTGCTGAGCAGGGAGCCTGACTCAGGCCTCGATACCAGGACCTGAGGATCATTGACCTGAGCCAAAGGCAGACCCTTAAGCAGCAACTGAGCCACCCAGGCATCCCTTGATCTATATTTAAATTTCATAAAACTTATCACTGGAAAAGTAGATTCACACACTCAGTTGTTTCAAATATTCTTCAAAGTTAACTAAATCGAGGATTAGTTTTTAATTTTAGGTTAATAAAACAATTCACTGATTTTAATATTTAATTATGTCTTTTTTTTTTTAAATTTTTTATTTACTTATGATGTCACAGAGAGAGAGAGGCAGAGACACAGGCAGAGGGAGAAGCAGGCTCCATGCACCGGGAGCCCGACATGGGATTCGATCCTGGGTCTCCAGGATCGCGCCCTGGGCCAAAGGCGGGCGCTAAACCACTGCGCCACCCAGGGATCCCTTTAATTATGTCTTTATTTTTTTTTTAAGATTTTATTTTATTCATGAGAGAGAGACAGAGAGATAGGCAGAGAGAGAAGCAGGCTCCATGCAGAGAGCCTGATGTGGGACTCGATCCCAGGACCCCAGGATCATCCCTGGGGCTGAAGGCAGACACTCAACTGCTGAGCCGCCCAGGCATCCCAAATTATGACTTTAGTAATAAATCAGTTGAAGCTAAATAACACTAAACACTCAGTTGCACTAGTCCTATTTCCAGAACTCACTTGTCACCTGTAGCTAATGGCATGCATATAGAGTAGCATATGTGCCGAGTGACTCAGTGATAGAGGGGCCTAATCCACCCCACTGAATTTCCCTGCTGGATTTACACATACCTGCCTACTGAGTTCCCTCTTCAGCTCTCGCATCCCCTCCACTTCTTATCAGTCATACACAGTTTATTCACCACATAGCCGCCCAACAAATTTTATTAAATGTCAAGTCAGGTATGTCACTCCTCAGACTCCTGCTCCCTCAGTGATGTCTTATCACACTTAGGTTCAGTTCCAAACCACTCATGACCCCCTCATGATGTGGCCTTCCTGATTTAAGCCATCTCACAGACCACCACTCCCCACCTTACTTGTTCTACTTCAGCACACCATTCACTGTATCCATATACCAAGCACACACCTGCTGCAGGGCCTTTGTACCTGTTGTACCTCTACCCAGAATGCTTTTCCCCAAGTGCCTCATACTTGCACTACATTCAAACTTGAACTCAATGTTGCATCCTCTGAGAGGCCTCCCTCAACCATCCCATCGTTCCACCCTCTGGCTCTGATCCTTTTTTTTTAAGTAGCAGTGATCTCAGCCGACCTTCCCCCCCCCTTTTTAAGATTTTTATTCGAGAGAGAGAGAGAGAGAGGCAGAGACAAAGGCAGAGGGAGAAGCAGGCTCCATGCAGACAGCGCGATGTGGGACCCAATATTGGGACTCCAGGATCATGCCCTGGGCCGAAGGCGGTGCAAAACCGCTGAGCAACCCAGGGATCCCATAACTGACACTTTTTCTATATAAACTTGCTATCCCTGTTGGAATGTAAGGTACAGGGTTGCTGGTCCTTCTTTGTGGTAAATCTGCTCTTTGCCCAGCACCTGGGACATTACCTGGCACATAGTAGACACAACAAATGCTTGTCAAATGGATGAATAGGTGTCTTCATGTTTCATTTGCCTCCTGATCTAGAGCCTTTTGTGATCTTGGGAGCAGATAACATTGGCCATTGCCCCTTCCTGACCCTGAGAAGGGGCAGAAATGTTGCAGATGTTCTGACCTTTCTCGATGTGTATCTGTGTACGTGTTTGTATGTGTGCATGCATGTGCATGTGTGACCAGGATGAAGGAGCAGGGGATAAGATATCCTAGAGACTCCAGGACCACCTAAAAGGCCCTGTCATCCTCATGACTTCTCTTCTCCCACAGCCCTACCTTCTCAGCACTCTGCCCTTCTTCAAGTTTGGACTCTCAAGGGGGAGGAAAGGATGCCTGCTGCACGAGGGAAGTCCAAGTCTAAGGTAAATAGTGATTCTTCCTGGAAGGAAGTTCCATCTTGTAAGATAGGGGCCATTGCTTTCCTTCCATGGAAATTCTGCCTGACGGAATCCCATCCAAGACCTGGTCAGTTTCCTCCCATCACCGTGGAGGGTAGGAACATGAGAAGAGCTCTAGGAACCCATGTAACCACTCCGCGCCCTCTCCTTTTTTTCTGTGTGCACATGGCCACTGACCTATTTGTTTAGTATATCCAGAGTGTTTGACTGGGCTGTTCCCTAGAAGGAAGAGGAGAGCCGCTGTGATTTCTCAAGGTAGACATGAGTGCCTACATGGGATCTGCTGAGGTAGAGGAGGACTTGAGGTTGTGCTCTAAAGTTAATCTGTTAATGTCTCTATTTTTACTTGTACAACTCATATTTACAAGAAGGAAATTTGATTTTTTAAGAGACCCATATAACCTTGTATTTAGGTTGGGTTAATTGGAACCAGGCCAGTGAGTCAACCTTCTGTTAAAAAACCTGCTTCACTACTTTAGATGATGAAGTGATTTTCTAAAATAAATATCTTGAACACAATTTCTGTACCAGTTTTGTCCTCTAAGTTATGTGTTCCCTGTCAATGCTATAACAAATTTCCACAAACTTGGCTGCTCAGAACAGCATGTATTTATGGCTCATAGTTCGTGGGTCAGAATCAGGCACAGTGCATGGCTGGGTCCTCTGCTTTGGGTCTCACAAGGCTGAAAAAAGGTATTAGCTGGGTGTGTGATCACGTCTGAGGCTCTTTTTTTTTTTTTTTAAAGTCTTTTAAATTTATTCATTCATGAGACACACACACACAGAGAGAGAGAGAGAGAGAGAGAAGCAGAGACACAGGCAGAGGGAGAAGCGGGCTCCATCCAGGGAGCACGATGTGGGACTCGATCTTGGGACTCCAGGATCACGCCCTGGGCTGAAGGCAGGAGCTAAACCGCTGAGCCACCCAGGGATCCCCATCTGAGGCTCTTCTAAACTCTTTGTTTATTAGCATATTCAGTTTCTTCTGCTTTCCATGTGGCCCTCTTCCATCTTCAATCCAGCAGTAGCAGGTCAAATCAGGCTTCCAATATCTTGACTTCTCTTTCCACTCTCCTCTTCCAGTAGGGGAAAAATTTTCCACTGTTACGGGCTTCTGTGATTACATCACCCACCTAGAAAATCTAGGATAATCTTCCCATTTAATGTCAAGTGATCAGTAACCTTGATTACATCTACAAAGAACCTTTGGCCCTGTGTAGTTGAGTCACGTGCTCCTTAGAGAGTATGAACTTAAGCATGAATCAGAAGTCGGGCTGCCCAGATTGAACTCCAGCTCCTCCGTTCACTAGTTGTGGACCTTCCGTACATCATCTCCCCTCTCTGGGCATCTCATTTCCTCATCTGTAACATTACTGTGATTCTCTTAGCAGTGCCCCAGCCAGGTCACTGGCTAACATGAGTCAGTACCTGTAGAGTGCTTAGAAAAATGGCTTTTGTCAATGCCCAGTAAATCCAAATTGATAATGCTTTTTATGGGACATTGTCCTTAATTGATAGCTATATCATATCGTATTGTGTTGTATTTATTTTATTTTATATACCTGCTCGTCCTGGCCTCAGAACCTCAAATGTTTCTGAAGAGATTCCTGGCACCATAGATTTCTGGTATTTGGGACAAGTTCCTTGTTGTCTCCAGCGGAGGGAAAGTAAGCCTGTGGTGAAAAGACATGTGATCTTCTATTTCAGGTGCCAGTGACATTTGGGGATTTGGCCATCTACTTCTCCCAGGAGGAGTGGGAATGGCTGAGCCCCATTCAGAAGGATCTGTATGAAGATGTCATGTTGGAGAACTACCAGAACCTGGTTTCTCTCGGTAAGGCTCTCTCTCCGTAATCCACAACCAACGCTTTGTGGGACAGAAATCAGTCTAGTTATGAAAATAGAAGCCACTGCAGCTTTGTTTGTTTAAAGATTTTATTTATTCATGAGAGACACAGAGAGAGAGAGGCAGAGACATAGGCAGAGGGAGAATTAGGCTCCCTGCGGGGAGCCCGATGCAGGACTTGATTCCAGGACCTCAGGATCACAACCTGAGCCAAAGGCAGATGCTCAACCACTGAGCCTCCCAGATGCCCCTGTGGTCTGATTTTTCAAGAGAATAGTTGGTTTGTAGAGTTAGAAATGAGCAATTTGTAGAGTTAGAAATGAACAATTCAGCTCACTGTAATTGAACTTTCATCTTCCTCCTCCACCGCCTGCCCTTCACATCCTTTGTACTCCCTTTGTGTTCATAAACCCTCATTCCCGTTGACATGGGGCTTGGCTCTGACATCTGTGGCATGCATATCATGCTCAGTTCTGTTGTTTTTCCTGAATGCAGGACTTTCCTTTCGGAGGCCAAATGTGATCACCTTATTGGAGAAAGGGAAAGCACCTTGGGTGGTGGAGCCAGTGAGGAAACGCCGGGGCTTGGGTGAGTGACAGAGAACCAAGGCTTACATGTTGCTGTTGTTTGTTTCTAAGAGCACTCTCTATCTTGAGAAGGCAACCTCTTAAAGATGTTTGCAAGCTGCCGCTTTCCCTGCCTTAAAGGCCACAGTCCTGTGATAAAAATTCTGGTCTCTTTCAGTGTGAGCTCCTAGAAGGAAAATAACCAACATTTAATAAACCCTCTACTAGGTACCAGACAAACTTCTAAGTACAGGTTCCTCCCAGTCCTATAAGGTAGGTACTATTATTATTCCTGTTTTATATATGAGGAAACCAAAAATCAGAGTTCAATAACTTGTCTAAGGTAACCCAGCTAGGAAGTGGCAGCAGAGCCTGGTTTGAACCCCAACTTCTTGTCTCAGAAGCTCAGCTCTTAATGCCCTCATGATGTACCTATCATATTCCCTGCTTCAGCATTTTCCTTCAGAGAAAGCATATTCCAACTTCTCTCATGATAGCATTGATAATGTTCAAACATGCATCATTTTCTTCATTCTTTAAAAAAAAAATGAAAATATTTTCCATTACTGTTCATTTTGACTACTTTCCAAGAACTCAGTCCCTTTTCTGATAGATTTCTTTATTTTACTTACTTACTTAACAGTTCTATGAGTTTTTTTTTTTTTTTTAAGATTTTATTTATTCATGAGAGACACAGAGAGAGGCAGAGCGAGAAGCAGGCCCCATGCAAGGAGCCTGACGTGGGACTCGATTCTGGGACTCCAGGATCACGCCCCAGCAGAAGGCAGGTGCTAAACTGCTGAGCCACCCAGGGATCCCTACGAGTGGTTTTTTTTTTGTTGTTGTTGTTTTGTTTGTTTTTTAAGTGGGGTCTACACCTAGTGTGGAGCCCAACTTGTGGCTTGATTTTACAACCCTGAAATCAAAAGAGCCAGACACTTAACTGACTGAGCCACCTAGGCACCCCTGAATTTTTTTAATTGTAAAAAATTCATAACATTGAATTTATCATCTTAACTATTTTTAAATGTATAATTAAGTGTATTCACATTGTTGTGCAACAGATATCCAGAACTCTTCCACCTTGTCATAACTTATGAAATTATACTCACTAAACACTAATATTCCTCCTCTCTTCCACCTGGTCCTTGGTAACCACCTTTCTTTGTATTTCTCTGATTTTGATTACCCATGGATACTTTATATGAATGGAATCAAAGAGTATTTGTCCCCTTTTTTTGAATATAATTCAGGTAATTAACATATAATGTATTACTGGTTTCAGAGGTAGAGATCAGTAATTTAACAGTCTTATATAATATCCAGCAATCATTATATCACATGCCCTACTTAATGTCCATCATCCACTTACCCCATCCCCCCTCTACTCTCCCCAACTCCAGCGAGTATTTGTCCTTTTGTAATCTTTTTTTTTTTTTTTCCTGAGTGTTCGTTCCTTGAGCTTCATCCATGTTGTAGCATGTGCCAGGATTTTTTTTAAGGCTGCATAATATTTCATTGTTTATATCATATTTTCTTTATCTATCAATGGATATTTGGGTTGTTTTGCTTCTTGGCTGCTATGAATAATGCAATAATCAACATGGGAATACAGATGTATTTAAGATCCTAATTTCAGTTTTTCTGGGTATATACCCAGAGGTGGGGCTGCTGGATCATATGATAGTTCTGTTTTTTATTATCTGTGGAACCTCCATACTGTTTTCCATTTGTCGTTTCCACCAAGAGTATACAAGTGTTTTGACTTCCTGTCAAGTTGTCTTTTTTTTTTTTTTTTTTTTTTGATAGTGGCCATCCTTATGGATGTGAGATGATATTGTGGGTTTGATTTGTATTTTCCTAATGATTAATGATATTGAGCATATTGACATATGTTTATTGGCCATGTGTCTATCTTCCTTGGAGAAGTGTCTATTCAAGTGCTTTGCCCAGTTTTAAAAATAGGGCTGTTGGGCAGCCCTGGTTGCTCAGCGGTTTAGCGCCGCCTTCAGCCCAGGGTGTGACCCTGGAGACTCAGGATTGAGTCCCATGTCAGGCTCCCTGCATGGAGCCTGCTTCTCCCTCTGCCTGTGTCTCTGCCTCTCTCTTTCTCTCTCTCTCTCTGTGTCTCTCATGAATAAATAAATAAAATCTTTAAAAAAATATTCATCAGAGATATAGGCCTGTAGTTTCCTTTTCTTGTGTTGCCTTTGTCTGATTTTGGTATTAAGGTAATGGTGACCTCATATAATGAGTTAGCAAGTATTCTTTCTGCTTCTATCCTCTGAAAAAGATGATAAAAAATTGGTATGGTTTCTTATTTAAATTTTTGGTAGAATTTACTAGCAGATGAATCTGGGCCTGGTGCTTTCTGTTTTGGAAGTTATTGATTATTGGTTTAATTTCTTGGATACATATAGGCCTATTCACATTGTCTATCATATGTGACTTTTGGAAGACTGTTCAACAAAGTGGTTTCTTTCATCTAGGTTTTCAGATTTATGGGCAAAGAAATTGTAATTTTCCTTTATTCTTTTTGTTTCCATGAAATATATATTTCTGTCCTAATTTTTATTTCTAACATTAATAATTTGTGTCAGAATTCTCTTTTTTCTTAGCTTATCAACTTTAATGACTTTGAAAGAACCAGCTTTTGGTTTTGTTGTACTTTTCTATTTCTTGTTTTCAATTTCAGTGATTTCAGTTTATTTTTTCTGCTTATTTTGGATTTAATTAGCTCTTTTTCTGATTTCCTAAGAGGGGATCTTAGATTAGCAATTTTAGATCTTTGTTCCTTTTTTAACATGCATATAGTGCTACAGACTTCTCTATAAACACTGGTTCCGATGCATCCCACAAATTCTGATGTTATGTTTTATTTTCATTGAGTTTAAAATATTTAAAAATTTCTTTTGTGATTTCACACTTATTTAGAAATGTACTATTTAACTTTCAAGTAGCTAGGGATTTTCTAGTGATTGATCGATCTTTTTTTTAAAGATTTTATTTATTTATTTAAATAGAGAGAGAGCGTGCACAAGTAGGGGGAGAGGCAGAGGGAGGGAGAAGCAGACTCCTTGCTGAGCAGGGAGCCCAATGTGGGGCTCAATCCCAGGACCCAGGTCATGACCTGAGCAAAAGGCAGACACTTGACTGACTCAGCCACCCAGATACCCCTCCAGTCATATTTCTGTTAACTGATTTCTAGTTTAATTTCACTGTGATCTGAGAGCATTGTGTGATTTCTATTATTTGTTAAGGTGTGTTTTTAAGGCCCAGAATGTGGTCCACTTGGTGAATGTTATATGTGAGCTTGAGAACAATGTGACCTCTGCAATTGTTGGATGAAATAGTCTATAGATGCCAGTTATATCCAGTTGAAAGAAGGTATGGTTGAATTCTACTAACTGATTTTCTGCTTCCTGGATCTGTTCATTTATGAGAGAGGGATGTTGAAGTGTCTTAAATATGATAGTGGATTCGTATATTTCTCCTTGCGGTTTTATCAGTTTTTGTCTCTTGTTATTTCATGTTTTGTTGCTTGGCATATACCCAGTAAGAATTTATAGCTTCTGAAGAATTGATTCCTTTGTCATTATATAATGCCTCATTTTATCCATGGTAACTTCTTTTTTTTTTTTTCTTTTTTTCCCCATGGTAACTTCTGTGCTTTTAAAAGTCTGCTCTGTCCAGAATTAATAGAGCTACTCCTGTTCTCTTTTGATTTGTGTTAGCATGGTCTATTTTTCTGCATTTACTTTTAATCTGTGTCTTTATATCTAACGTGAGTTTCTTAGAGACAACACATACTTGGGCCATGGTTCTTAATTCACTCTGAATAAAATCAAATTCAATCTCTTTTGATTGGTTTAGACTTTTGATTGACATTCAAAGTGATTATTGATACAGTTGGATGATATTTACTATATATAAAATAAATATTTTATTTGATGTCTTTATTCCTGTTTTTGTTTGTCTTCTACTCTTTTTCTGGTTATTGTGATTTTACTTTTTTGTTTGTGGTTTTAAATGAAGATTTATATGATTCTATTTTCTGTTCTTCCTTATCATATCATATATGTGTGTGTGTGTGTGTGTATGCGCACATACTTTTTTTTTTTACATGGTTGCCCTAGAATTTACACTATATGTTTGCAGCTAATCCAAGTCCACTTTCAGATAACACTATACCACTTTATGGGTAGTGTGAGTACCTTACAATAACAAAATAATGCTGATTCCTTCCTCACCTGTATCACTGCTATCATTCACTTCATTTATATATAAAATACATGTAAGCAAGCATATATATATATATATATATATATATATATAATTTTTTTTAAAATTTTCATTTATTTATGATAGTCACACAGAGAGAGAGAGAGAGAGAGGCAGAGACACAGGCAGAGGGAGAAGCAGGCTCCATGCACCGGGAGCCCGATGTGGGATTCGATCCCGGGTCTCCAGGATCGCGCCCTGGGCCAAAGGCAGGCGCTAAACTGCTGCGCCACCCAGGGTTCCCTATATATATATATATATATATATATATATATATATATATATATATATATTTACGTGTATACATCAAATAAATATATAAGCATACACAATTGAATACATTGTTGCTGTTATTTTGAACAAACTGTTAGGTCAATTAAGAAGAAAAATGTTTTTTTTTTTTTTTTTTGCCTTTACTTATTTTCTTTCTTTTCTTTTCTTTTCTTTTCTTTTTTTTATTATTATTTATGTATTCATTAGAGACACAGAGAGGCAGAGAAAGAAGCAGGTTCCATGCAGGGAGCCTGATGTGGGACTTGATCCCGGGACTCCAGGATCATGCCCTAGGCCGAAGGCAGATGCTTAACCACTGAGCCACCCAGGCATCCCTACTTATTCTTTCTTTATTGCTTTTCCCTTTTCTATATAGATCCAAGTTTCTGATGTATTATTTTCCTTCTAACAGACCTCTTTTAACATTTCTTGCAAGGCAGGGCTACTGGCAACAAATTCTCCCCTGCAGGGAGCCTGATTTTCCCTCTGCCTATGTCTCTGCCTCTCTCATAAATAAATAAAATCATTGAAAAAAGATTTTATTTGAGAGAGAAAAAGAGAAAGAGACCAAGCATGAGTAGTGGGGAGGGGCAAGGGGAGAGGGAGAAACAGGGTCCCTACTGAGCTGGGAGCTGGATGTGGGGCTCCATCCCAGGACCCTGGGATCACTAGCTGAGCTGAAGGCAGACGCTTAACCGACTGAGCCATCCAGGCGCCCCTGCTTTCTGGTTTTCATAAGGATTCTGTTGATTGAATCCTTTAGCCCACAGAATTTTTCTTCAGCTATGTGGAATCTACTAATAAGGCCATTCAAGGCATTTCTTTATTTCTGTTAGTGTCTTTTATCTAATGTTTTGTTTTGATTCTTAGGTTTCCATCTCTTGCTTACATTGCCCATCTGTTCTAATATGCTGTATACTTTATCTATTAGAGCTCTTAACATATTAGTTTTAAATTTCTGGTCTGATAATTCCAGCATCCCTGCCATATCTGAGTCTGGTTTTGATGCTTGCTCTATCTTTTCAAATTGTGTTTTTTGCCGTTTGGTATGCCTGTATTTTTTTTTTTTTAAGATTTTATATATTCATGAGAGACAGAGAGAGAGAAGCAGGCTCCATGCAGGGAACCTGACGTGGGCCTTGATTCCGGTTCTCCAGGATCACATCCTGGGCTGAAGGCGGCACTAAACCACTGAGCCACCGGGGCTGCCAAGATTTCTTAAATTCTAATTATTAAATATTTCTATAAAGTTCTTACTATGATAAAATTATACTGACTGTCTTTATTGTTATGTATGGTAATGGTTATTATTATTATTATTATTGATAATGACTGCACAGAAACTTCATTTTTCAGCATAGAAAAACAAATATTGAATTTCTTGCTATCTTTCAGACTCAGGGTTTAAATGTGAGACCAAGAAGTTACCTCCAAATCTAGACATCAAATCTGGGCAAAGTATCTATCAGAAACAAGTTTCTGCATCACAAAACATTCCCACAGGAAAGAGAAGCTGCAAGAAAAGTTCAGTCCTGATGAAACCCAAGAATGTGCATTCAGGGAAGAAATCTTTAAAATGTAGTGACTGTGGGAAAACCTTTGGTCACAGTTTATCCCTTCAACTTCATCAGAAATCTCATACTGGAGAGAAGCCTTATGAATGCAGCAGTTGTAGAAAAGCTTTCAGGCAGATCTCATCCCTCATTCTTCATCAGAAAATTCACAATGGAAGAAAAAGCTATGAATGTGATAAATGTGGAGAAAGCTTCATTCAAAGAACATCTCTTATTCTACATGGGAAAGTTCATAATGGAAAGGAAACTTTAGACTGTGGGAAGCCTTTGAGTCGGTGCCCACCTCTCACTGTGGGCCAGAAAATTAATTTTGTTGAGAACATCCACCAGTGTGGAAAGTGTGGGAAAGACTTCATTCAGATGTCATCCCTTTTACTACATAAGAAAATTCACAGTGGAAAGAAAATACACAAATGCAATAAATGTGGGAGAGGCTTCAATAAGAAATCAGCCCTTGTTATACATAAAAAAATTCATAGTGGAGAGAAAACCCATGAAAGTAAGAAGGCTATAAGTCTGAGTCCACAGCAGAAAATTTATCATTTAGAGAATCCTTATAAATGCAGAGAATGTGGAAAATCCTTTAATAGGATTTCATCCATTATGCTTCATCAGAGATGTCACATGTCAAAGAAACCCTACAAATGTGATAAATGTGAGAAGGTCTTCAGGCGGCTTTCAACTCTAATTCTACATCTAAGAATTCATAATGGAGAGAAACTGTATAGATGCAGTAAATGTGAGAAGGTTTGTAATCGGCATTCATCCCTTATTCTACATCAGAAAGTTCATACAAGGAAAAAGAAATTGTTTGAATGTAAGGAATGTGGGAAGATGTTTTCTGGAACTGCCAACCTTAAAATACATCAGAATATTCATTCTGAAGAGAAACCCTTCAAATGCAATAAATGTAGTAAAGTTTTTGGCCGTCAGTCATTTCTTATTGAACATCAGAGAATTCATACTGGAGAAAAACCGTATCAGTGTGAGGAATGTGGAAAAGCCTTTAGTCATCGAATATCTCTTACTCGACATAAGAGAATTCATACTGAAGACAGACCCTATGAATGTGATCAATGTGGGAAGGCCTTCAGCCAGAGTGCACACCTTGCCCAACATGAAAGAATTCACACTGGAGAAAAACCATATATGTGCAAAACATGTGGGAAGGCCTTTAGTCAACGCACATCCCTTATTCTACATGAAAGAAGTCATACTGGAGAGAAACCATATGAATGTAATGAATGTGGTAAGGCATTTAGCAGTGGCTCGGATCTTATTCGGCATCAGAGAAGTCATTCTTCAGAGAAACCATATGAATGTAGTAAATGTGGGAAGGCATATAGTCGGAGTTCATCCCTGATCCGACATCAGAATACACATTCTGAAGCCAAAGCCTAAGTGTTTTAATATATGAAAGCATAGAGTGAGGCTGTCAAAGTAGCAGAGACCAAGGCATGGAAAATGCATTTGTCTATAAGATAAATTTTGTAAAAATGAGACCACTTGATAATGTGCCTCATTTTGAAAGCCAAAGAACAAAAGTCATTGGTGACTTTGACCAGATGATTTGTAATCAGTGAGGCAGTGACTTTATCAAAGATCTTAACTTCAAAGTAGTAAGGTCAGACAGTTGGAGCACTCATTTTTAATGAAGACCACTCTTCACTTGATAAGAATTACTGATATTTTATTTCCATTGTAATTTAAAGGTATTTCATTAGTCACATAAAACAAGGTACATCTGCTAAGTCCATATTTGTAGATGGGTCTTTGAGCCTGATTTAAGGTCACATGAAGAAAGAGTTTGAGGTTGTCCCTTAGGCCTGGAACTATCACATATAAGAGATTTCTTGGGCAAACCAGTGTGCTGCTTCCAGCTGACAGAAAATTATGGCTGAGAAAAAAGAGTGAGTCTTGAAGTAAAGGTATCACTCATAAATGTGTGAATCATTACCATATTGTCTCCATATGAAGATATATGATGTTCATTGTGTGTAAAATCTAACAAGCCTGTGGTGGGCTAATGGGAAAAAGGAAACCAGGATATACTGAAGAATGAGAACTTAAAAGCAGGGAAAAATTATTTGTTACTGTTTTGTTTGAAAATAAATGTGTTTATAAATGTGTTTATATTTATATGAATAAACGTTGGTATTTTCATGTAAGAATACTGGTGTGCAATAAGTGATTGGTGGAGAATGAGATGCAATTCCCTGAAGGTGTCCTCTCAGATTTCAAACCCCTATTTTTAATGTGGTTGGTATTTGGAAATGGGATCTTTGGGAAATATTTAGTGATAGATGAGGTTATGAGGGTGCATCATGATAGGATTAGTATCTTAGAAAGAATGCCAGAGAGTTTGCTCTCTCTTCCATGTGAAGATACTGCAAGAAGATGGGTGTCTACAAGCCAGGAACCTAGCCTTCAGTACCATCCAACCATATGACACCCTGATCTCAAACTTTTAGCCTCCAAAAGTAAAAATTCAGTTTCTTTTAAGTCACCTAGTCTGTGGTATATTGTAATGGTAGCCCAAGCTGACTAATCCCTGGGGGAAAACCCTGGATTTATGTACCTGGCTATTTTCCTGTCAGCTAATCACTATATGTAATAGCTCTTTTTTTTTTTTAAAGACTGTGTATTTATTCATGAGAGACAAATATCCAGATTTGTGAAGAGTGAACATACAAATACGGGAGCACATAACAATGCTCATGGAGAGGCATGTCTAGTCTCCCTCCCCTTCTACACCCCTCTATTTAATTACTCTGCAGCTCTACCATAAAGATGGTTCCAAATCATTGGTCATGAACCTAATATATATAAACTAATAAGGTATTTTTGCCTGCAGACACAGTTTATAAGGGCATACAGGATATTGAAATGTGGAGACATATACACAGGTAATACGGAGAGAATGGTGAACTCCGGTAAATGGAGGATATGTGGACAGGGATCACTTGGAGATAGTGACCATATTAAAGGAAGAACAGGACTTGAAAGATGACTAGGTACACAAAAGTTGGAAGGCTACTGAAGCCAAAGAGAAGTACAGATGCACAACATAATGGCAGAGGGTTGTGGAATATTAAAGGAATTGTAATCCAGTATTTAGTACAGTGACTAGTAAATAAGTTATCAGTGCTCATTAAATAGTGAATAAATGAATTAATGAAAATGTTTTAGTATAACCGGATTTTCCCTGAGACATAACAAGGAAAACAACCCTGAAGGCGACCCAGATATTGAGATAAACCACTGGAAAACAGGCTCCTGTTTGAAGGAATCGCTAATGTTTTAAAACTGTCTTGAACTCAGGGTAACCACATCCAACCAAACTTAAACCTAATTGATTCCTTTCTGTTAATGACCCCACTCCACACACCTACATAGGCTTAACAGAAGGAATGACTATTTCCAAGAAATCTACCTCTTTACTGTCCTACACAAGATTCCTAGCTTTTGGGGCTGGGGGGAGGTGTGGAATCGCAAGGCATACAAAACAAAAAAAATCACCCCCCACCCCCACCAAGTGACAGAACAATCTAGAACTACTCAGAAGTGACACAGATCACTTGGACTGACAAAATTTAAACTATAAGTAATGAAAAAAAATAAACTATAAGTAATGTTTAAGGTTCTAATAAAGTTGCACAACAGGCAAATTACATGGGTCATTTGAGTAGATGAATCATGGAAATACTAGAAATGAACACAAACCGTGCCTTCAACATACTTGACACAGCCAAGGAAAGAATAATTGAACTTGAGGATAGGGGAATAAAAATCACCCAAACCAAAACAAAGGGGGATGTGGGGTGGAAGGAGGTGACAAAAGAACATCCAAGTGCTGTGGGGAAAGATCTGGTCAGCACATAACTAGCATCCCAAAAGGCATAGAAAAAATGAAGCAGAAGAAATATTTGGAAATTCAATGGCTGATGACACCAGAACATGCATATATAAAGCTCAGAATACGAAGAAGGATTTTTTTTTTTTAATTACAGAGGAACAAAGATAAGAATTACAGCAGACTTAGAGAAAAAGAATTACAATAGACTTAGAAATCATGCAAACTGGAGGATAATGACATTTGTAAAGTCCTGGAAGAAAAGCTGTCTTTGTGAAACTGTTCATGGAAATCTCTTTCAAAATTGATAGAGAAATGAAGACTTTCTCAAAATAAAGACAATACATTGCCATAAGATCTACTCTAATTGAAATGTTAAATGAAGTTCTTGAAGCGGAAGGAATGTGAAATCACAACAGATCCTTGGATATACACAAAGGAAAGAAGAGAAATGGAATAAATGAAGGTAAAATAATTTTTCTTCACTTACGTAAATATTTAAAAGATAACTTTAAAACAGTAACATGCTTTGTGTGTTTATCACATATAAAAGCAAAATGCATGACAAGTACAAAAGGTAAGGAGAAACGGAATATGTTGTGCAGGATCTTGTTAGGTGATGTATAACTTGAAGATCTATTCTGGCTAATTAAAGGTATATATTCTAAACATAGGATAACCCCTGAAATATTTTAAAGAGGTAAATTTGTTAATAGAATAAAATGGAATAATTTAAAAGTCTTTAGTTGAGGGCAGAAAAAGAACAAAAGACAAAGGGCAATTAGAAAGTGGTTGAGGGTAGGTTGATTTTAATGCAAATATACTTTTTAATTACATCAAAAGCAGATACTCTAAGCATACTTAAGACATTTAAGACTGAACGGAAAAGCAGGACCCAACTAGATGCTAGCAGAAACGTACTTTATACAGGCATAGTTAATTAAAAGTTAAATAGTGGGGAAAAAGATCATACAAACAAAAAGACAGTTGGGGGAAGTGGGTGACAGGCACTGAGGGGGTCACTTGATGGGATGAGCACTGGATTGGTTATATGTTGGCAAATTGAATTTAAATTAAAAAGTTGAGGGATACCTGGGTGGCTCAGCAGTTGAGTGTCTGCCTTCAGCTCAGGATTGAGTCCCACATCGGGGTCCCCACTAGGAGCCTGCCTCCCCCTCTGCCTGTGTCTCTGCCTCTCTGTCTCTTTCATGAATAAATAAATTAAAATATTTTGAAAATTAAAAAACGGAGTCACTATAGAAATATGTCAGATGAAGCTGACTTTAGAACAACAAATGTATTCAGTGATCAAGAAAAACATTACATAATAAAGGGATCAATTTCCAGGTAAATGTAACAATCCTAAATGTTTATGTATTAGACTACAGAGGTGCAAATTACACAAGTGAAAAAAAGAACAAAATGGCCAAATAGATCAACCCACTATTACAGGGGATTTCTCCTTTGTCTTTCAGCTATTAATAAGACAAATAGACACAAAATCAGAATATAGACCTGAACAACACAACTGACCATGTTAACTAGTTGACATTTATAAAACACCACAAGAGCAGAATACATTCTTTTCAATTACACATGAAGGAGTACACAAGACCATACAACAAATTTTGAGTTTTAAAACGTTATATAGGGATCCCTGGGTGGCGCAGCGGTTTGGTGCCTGCCTTTGGCCCAGGGCACGATCCTGGAGACCCAGGATCGAAACCCACGTCGGGCTCCCAGTGCATGGAGCCTGCTTCTCCCTCTGCCTATGTCTCTGCCTCTCTCTCTCTCTTTCTCTCTCTCTCTCTATCATAAATAAATAAAAATTAAAAAAATAATAACAAAAAATAAAATAAAACGTTATATAAAGTATATTCCTTGCTATTTAGTAGCAGAACTAAACTAGCAATAACATCTGGAAATATTTGGGAGAGTTAAATTACAGATTCCTTTTTTTAAAAAAAGATTATTTGAGAAAGCAAGAGCACAAGCAGGGCAAGCAGCAAAGGGAGAAGGCAAAGCAGTCTCCCCACTGAGCAGGGGAGCCTGTTGCAGGACTTGATCCCAGAACTCCCCCCCCACCCCCCATCATAACCTTAGCCAAAGGCAGATGCTTAACCCACTGAGCCACCCAAGTGCCTCACAAATATGTTTTTAAATAACTGTTCAGATTATTTCTTGAGAAACTTGGTATTTTCTTTCAAGAAAATTTCCCATTTCATCTTAGTTAAATTATTTACATAAAGTTCACAACATTCTCTTAACCCATTTCATAACAGAGTTTGTGGTGATGTCACCTCTGGCATTCTAGATATTGGTACCTTGAGTATTTTTTTTCCAATATTCTTAAGATTTACTGGTTTTATTGACCTGCTTTTATTTTTGCTTCCTATTTCATTGAGTTCTATTAGTAATTACTTCCATTCTTATGCTAACTTTGCATTTCATTGTTTTTCATATTCTAGTTAGGTGGAAATTGAAGTCACTAAGATCTTTCAAAATTTTATAACGGTACTATTTATTACATTTCCTTCTATGAACTGTTATTTGCATCCCACACATTCTGACATGCTGTAAGCCTGTTTTAAGTTTTATTCAACTTAAAATAACTCTTGTTTTCCCGTAGATTTCTCTCTTGACCAATGGGATACTACCTAGGTCCAAACATTAGGAGATTTTCCAAGTATCTTTCTGTTACTGGATTTATAATTTAATCCCCTCTGGTCAGGAAACATATTACATATTTTGTACGACTTGAATTCTTCTAAGTTAATTGAGCTATATTTTGAAGCCTGGGATGTGATCTGTTTTGGTAACTATTCTTGGTATATATGAAAATAATTTGTGTTCTGTTCTTGAGTGGAGGGTTTTCAAAATGTCAATTAGGTAAAGTTGGTTGGTTGTGTAGTAGCCTTATGATTTCTCTCTGCTTGTTGCTATGAGAGATCTGTGTCAGAATCTCTTATTATAATTTTGGATTTGTTCATTTCTCTTTGTAGTTATTTCCATTCTTTCCCCAGGTAATTCAGGTGATTTCCTCCTCACATGCATGCACACTGATCATTGTTCTGGTAAAAACTAGAGTTTTTACACAGATGAAAAATTCTATGTCTAGGTTTTTTTGTTTTTTCTCTAAGAGCTCTCAGGCACTTCATCCTGGGAACTCTAGCCACCCCAATCTCCCTGACTCCCAGATCTGTCTTCTCAACTCAGAGTGACCATAGTCTGGAAACTCTTCATGCAGTTATTTGGATAAGTCCTAGTACTCCTTTCATTT